TGTGTGGTTGTGTGTGTGTGTGTGTGTGTGTGTGTGTGTGTGTGTGTGTGTGTGTGTGTGTGTGTGTTCCCAGGTTTGACGCTGACAGTGGGTGTGTGTAAGAAGATCACCTCCCAGCTGATCGGAGCGATGGGGAAACAGGAAGACGTCTCCGTTCAGTTAGAGGCTCTGGACATCCTGTCAGACATGTTGGGAAGGTAACAACACAACTTCATTAAACTTTATCAAACTATTCAAGCAGCTTTGGTTAAGGTTCAAGGTTAGTTTATTTGTATAGCACATTTTAAGACACAGAGGCAATTCAAAGTGCTTCACATAGGCATTCAACACATGATAGTTAAAAACAAAACAAACACACAAGATAGAAAACAGCTAAAATAGAAATATCTCTGCTGTTTGTTTCTTATCATTTGCAGGTTTAAATGCTCAATTGCTTAAAGTGGACCTATCATGCTATATTTGAATAATATAATGTAGGACCATACCTATATAAGGCATATTTATACTTTCTATTTTTCTAAATACCAAACAGATCATGCATTTTAGCCATTCCTCATTTCGCTCAATTTAACACTGTCTTTGCATCATGGGCTGATTCTGTGAGAACAGCACCATCTACAGGCCTGGCATATGTACTACGGCGTCTCTAGCGCTTTCCAACGGCTGTCTCCTCCTGATTGGTGGAGTTGGCCCAATAGCCGTAGCGCCACTTCTGTGACATCATAGAAGTGTTCAAATCTGGATCAGTCTGTATCAGATCCGTTGCAGCCCCTTTTTAAGAGATTTGGGTATGGAGGAAAAGAGAGAGGGTTGTGTTTTCTGACACTTGGTGAGTTCCCTGGAACACCGGGGACACATATTCATGTATACAAGACGTACAAAAGTGCATTTTGCATGATAGGTCCCCTTTAAATAAGAGGGTGAGCAAGGTTCACATTATATCTTCTGAACAAAAGCATTTTTTTTGTGTTAATTGACTAATTAATTATTGATTGTTGTTGTTTTTTTTATGCTTTTATTTGTCTTTCACAGGCTGAGTGGTGCTCTGGTCAGTTTCCATAGCGCTCTGCTCTCCAGTCTGCTCCCTCAGGTAACACATATATAACAAAAGACAAGAGGGAATATTATATAAAATGATATATGAGGATAAAATCAGAATATTAGTAGCAATAATAGTTTTTTTGATAATATTATTATATGTTATTTTATTGTAGCTATTTGTATCAATCATAGTTAATTAAGTTATCTGATAATGAAATGAAAACCTAGCCATGCAACAAAGTCATTGGGATAAGGAACTTCAAAAGTCAAAGTCAACTTTATTGTCAATCTTTCAGTTTGTGTGTACAGACAGAGAGATCCAAATACCGTTATACAATCCAGAATACAAAAACAAAGATATATAAAAATATGTACAGTATATCCTGTACACACAATCAACAGACACATTTATACATATGCACACATTATAAGATAAAAGCAAAACAATCAATATATACGAAATAACAGTCACTTCAATATCCTTGGGAATGTACAAAAACAAAGTTTAGTATCTGAAAACAAAGTTTAGCATCTCAAAATAGTGATGTTTTAATGAACTGCCTACCCCCGTTGCATGATGGTAGTTAGTTAAAACAGACACCCTTCAGATAAACCTAATATCCATCCTTCCCTCCGTCAGCTGACCAGCTCCAGGATGGCGGTGAGGAAGCGCTCCATCTTGGCTCTGGGTCACCTGGTTCCCTGCTGTAGCCCCGCCCTCTTCTCCCAGCTGACTGAACACCTGACCAATGAGCTCGCCAAGGCCCCGCCCGTTTCCATGGCGAGGACGTACATCCAGTGCCTAGCAACCGTCAGTCGTCAGGGCGGCCATCGAGTCGGTGAGATCTGCTGCCACGCTCACGTGAAACTAGATTTAAGGACAACACATTCCTGACTGAGGAACTGTTAAAGTAACAAAATGAAATGAAAACATTTAGATTTGTTTCCTTGTGATGAAAGACAAAGAGAATATTCTGGTCATTTCAATTAGAAAAGTTTAAACAATGAGTTATTATCTCAAACCTAATGACATGGTATCTTAAAATAGTGACTTAATATCTAATAAATAATGACTTAGTATCTTAAATTGATGAGTTAATGGTAAAATAATGATTAGGTATCTAAACATATTTGTTTAGCTTCTCAAAATTATCATAATGAGACATTTCTCAATAATGACTCAGTAGTCTAAAGTACAGAACGTTTTTGCTTAATGATTTTAAAGTATCTTTTTTAATCACACGGCTAAGTTGTCATCTTTTTCCCCCGTACCTTTTGGATATCAGTTTCCATGTCGATTACTAACATACTTTTATTTTGAAAAGATCTTCATTTTGACATTTTCATACTCAATTTACAACAAAAGAACACATCTAGAAACTCATAAGCTTTGTTGTGTGTGTGTGTGTGTGTGTGTGTGTGTGTGTGTGTGTGTGTGTGTGTGTGTGTGTGTGTGTGTGTGTGTGTGTGTGTGTGTGTGTGTGTGTGTGTGTGTGTGTGTGTGTGTGTGTGTGTGTGTGTGTGTGTAGGTGAACACTTAGAGAAGTTAATCCCGATGGTGTTGAAGTTCACGGACGTGGAGGACGACGAGCTGAGAGAGTACTGTTTCCAGGCCTTTGAAGCCTTTATACGCAGGTACACACACACATCCACACCCACACACACACACACACACACACACACACACACACACACACACACACACACACACACACACACACACACACACACACACACACTCTCTCTCTCTCTCTCTCTCTCTCTCTCAAACACACACACACACCCAC